CCCCCCCCCCCATGGGCAACGCCAGGGCCTACCTCCGTCCTCATGTCTGTCCCTGTCCCCAGCCAAGGGTTTCCTGCCCCGTCCCCCTGGGAGAACTGAGGGGCCCCGTCCCGCCCCTTTTGCCCCACCCCCTACCCCGTTCATCCCATCCCAGTGCCAGATGTCCTCGGAGGGGCTCCCCTGGAGTCTGGTACAATGATCCCCCTCCTCCTCCGCCCACTCAGGGAAACTGAGGCACATGATCAAACTGGGGAGCGGGTCGCTGTGGGAGGGGGGGTCTTTGTGGGCCGGGCTGTGGGGAGCAGGGCCTCCCCCAGATACTCACGCACTCAGCAGCTCCCCGATCTCGTACTTGTCCGTGATGTCGCCCACGGAGTTGTAGTTCTTCTCCTCCCGCAGCCGGAGACACCCCCACGGCATCCTGGGGGGGCGGGGGTCGGGGGAGTGAGACAGAGCCAGCATCCCCCATGGTGCCCCCCACCTGCCCCTGCAGCCTGGTGCCCCCTTCCCTGCCCCCTGCAGCCTGGCACCCCCCACAGAGCCCCCCACCTACCCCTGCAGCCTGGCACACCCCAATGACCCCCTACAGCCTGGTGCCCCCCACTAGGGTGACCAGACAGCAAGTGTGAAAAATCGGGACAGGTGGTGTGTGTGTGTGGGGGGGGTAATAGAAACCTATATAAGAAAAAGACCCAAAAATCGGGACTGTCCCTATAAAATCGGGACATCTGGTCACCCTACCCCCCACTGAGCCAGACAGATCCTCCATCCTGGGGCTGGAAGTCACCTGACAGAGAAAGCTCCTTATGGGCCTTGGTGGGGTTAGGGACGGGGCCGTGGGATTCGGGACCTCGGCTCCCCTGGAATTTCCCCTCACGCCCGGTTAGAACTGGGCTGCCATCACCTCCCGGCAGAGACTTGGGAGCCCCCCTCCCAGAGCTGTGGAGAGAACCCAGGAGTCCTGGGTCCCAGACCCCCACCCAGCTCTCACCACCAGACCCCACTCCCCTCCCAGAGCTGGGGAGAGAACCCAGGAGTCCTGGGTCCCAGCCCCCCACCCAGCTCTCACCACTAGCCCCCACTCCCCTCCCAGAGCTGGGGAGAGAACCCAGGAGTCCTGGGTCCCAGACCCCAACCCAGCTCTCACCACCAGATCCCACTCCCCTCCCAGAGCCAGTTCCCAGACCAGGGCAACAGCTGCCTCCTGGGTTCTGACACCAGCGAAGCTCGGCCCGGCTGGCAGAGCCAGTGACCCAAAGGGTGGGATCCAGGGCTGGGCTGGCAGGGGGCTGCGGGTCGGGAGTGAGGGGCACCGGCAGGGCTGGGGGGGGTAGGACTGGGCTGGGGGGGGGCA